TAAATAGTGGGGACAGGACTTATGAGTTTAATTTTTTACATAAAAGAAATGCTCAACTTAAAGAAGAAAAACAATGAAACTCGTGTTTAAACATTTTACTATTAGATAATTTAGAATCTTAGATTACCTAATGGTAAAAAGAGGATGCACGTTACACCAATTTCAGTGTATTATTGAATTCTAAATATCAATACTATGTCTGTCATTATGCTTGGTAGTTGACTGGTCACTGGTGGCATATTGGAAGTTCTTCACCCATATTTTATCATTTTGACTCAAAGTTAGTTTTGGTGTATTTTAGAATATAATTACCTACATTCACTTCCGGTTCTAGAAAATAATGAAGAGTAGGAATGAATATTATCCATGTTGTACTATGGATGTTTGACAAAATAGCATACTTCGTGTTCCCTTAATTAAATTAATTAATGTAAATGAAGCTGGAAAATATTGAAAAAGAAGATGAATATGCCAATTGCCAAGAAAAAGGATTAAGAGATAATGATAGGTATATAAATTTGTGTAACAACTCACACTACCTTTTGGTCAGCCAGCCAAATCAACAAAGAATGTCCCGTACTTATCTAGAGTCAGCTATGTTTTGGTAAATCACTTCTATATAAAAATCGGGGGTTCTTTTGTAATCATCATTTGCATTTGCATTCCAATTTTATACTATATACTGCCTCTTGCTCCACCTGATAATGATGTGCAGTGATTAAGTTCTTAATTTTTAGATTTCTTTTGCAATGTTTAATTCTTTCCAATATTATTGGTATTTTATTGATTAATTTAGCTAACAGTTAATGTGTGTTAATTTGTAATTCACGTCAATATGATTGTAGCTATTCCTATCTTTTCTCCAAGCATGTCTCAAATTTACATTTTATTGAAAAATAAAAAGAGTCCAGAGGTACTGATTCTTATTTGAGAATATTGGATCAAACCATGTCTTTTAGTTTCCCTTCTCATAAATTAGGTAATTTATGTGAATTTATGTTTACAAAATTGTATTTGCGAATTGTGATTTATGATGAGTAATTTATGATTTGATGAGGGAATATGATATTAGGAATGATTATTAATTTGGGAATTTACGTTTAAGATGACATTTAGCAGATTATGGAACGATTTTTTCAACCAAAACGAAAGTCCATACCCAATTCTTCTACTTCTAGTTGTGGATCTAGTCCCGCCACTGATTCTAGTCGAGCACAAGAGTTATTGAATAACACAAAGAAGTCTCAGGCTCAATTTAATGTGGATGATCTTATATCTGATCTAGGGATACACCCCCCTATCGAATCATATGATCCTAATATTAGAGATGTTGTTAGGATGTCATACTTGGAGAAGGGTCCTTGTCAACCATATGAACATGATTTTCCAAGAAGACCGATGGGGAATGATAATAGATGTTTTCGAAAAGAATGGTTTGCCGAATTTCATTGGTTGGAATACAGTATAGAAAAGGATGCGGCGTATTGTTTGCATTGCTACCTGTTCAAACTT